CATGATGGTCTGTGGACAGACTAGTTATTTTATATCAAGTAGCTTAGACCCTTATTAGGATCTGCTTCTGAGATTACTCTGTAAATAAAATGTCGTAAATCCATGAAACTAATTCATTCTTCCTCTGTTACAAGTTAGAAGATTTTTTTAGGATGCTACAATACAGTTTGTTTGCAGGTCAGAAAAGCTACCACAGATGTGTCTGAGTCATGATCATGATGGAGTTTCACCGTTACATGAAACTAGCGTTCAAAAGACTAGCCCTCTGCAAAAGTTCACATTACAGCATCCTTCTGTTGGGCCTGTGACTGATTTTTGTCTGTATGAGGTGAGTGAGGGTAACTTGTGCAGATCATAATCACATAATTGTTTTTCACCAATCTCAGTGTTATAACTTTGGCCCTGTTGGTAGCTGCTCTCAGCACAGGAGCTCAGCGTGAGAGCAGACAGAAACTCTAGTTGTACCAGTTCTCCCTGTTAGAGTCTAGCCTGCCCTAAAATACAGGAGCTGCAACTTTTCCCGAGCGGTCTCTAAATCCCAATTGGTAACTAGCTCATGGAGACCTAATTGTAGGTGATTTCTATTGAAAATAATTTAGTAAATAATAGAAAGGGCTGGAATGTGAACTGCTCTACAAAGTTCATGCTGGAAAAGAATAACCTTGCTTTCTCTGTACTCACTGTGCCATTGTGTCTGCAGTGAAGCTTTCTTCTGATTCCTGCAGCATTTAAATCACAGTGCACTGTATTTCCAGCAACATAATGCTGATCTGACACAGGGCTGATTACTTTTTTAAAGTCTAGGGAGACAAGAAAAGCTGCATCATGATTTTGATATGAGAGTAATGCTACATAGTATGAAACTGAAATTGTGCGAGAAAAGAACTATGCGTTCAGCAAATGTAGAGGGACAGCATGCACGCCAGTGGCTATGGATATCAGTGTGATGCTAGTCTGAAGTTGGAGCTGATTGTGCTGTTGCATTTGTTGGCTTCAGCAACATTTAGTTCTCAGCTGTGTTACTGACAACCTACTGGATGCAATCTCAACATCTGCACACATCAGTATGCAGTTTTGCACCTAGAAACTTTAAAACATTAACTTCCTTACAGACTTCAGAGCAGAACAAAGTAAGCCACCTGGGAAAAGGAATCTATAAAAACCCTTATGTGTCTTGTAATGGTTTTTGCCTCAGTTTTAATATGTTAAAAAATATAATCTTCTGAATGTGCATTTTGGTGCTGGAGATTTGGCTGTGCAGAAAGAGATATGGTACATCTGATATGATGTGCCTTGATGGTATCTTCTGGTTATCCGAATGCCATAAAAACAATTGCTTATGGAGACTATGTTGCATTGGGAGTCATCAAAACCTGGCTGTGAACATACCTGTGATACACGTAAAGATGGCATTTTCCATATTATTCCCTATAAGTGTAGTACATTTGACTGATGAGCACATACATATTTTCCTGAAGCCAAATTTTAAGTGTGACTTACAGGGAAATCTAATTTTCTGAAATCTTTGACTTGAAAAGTGGAGGTGAAAATATCCCTCACCAGAAGAGAAATTATTGCCCCATGTTACAGATTGCTGTGATGCATTTCTAACAATAAGGGCTTTAAGCCTGAGTCAGTGTTACAGACATCTGAGGCTATGTTTTAAAATCATAGCACCTTTATGTGCTATCGTACATCAGAATCACTGCTGTATGCTGGTTTCATATTAAGGAAAGAGGTAATGAATTGGAGGACAGAACCACAGATAAAAGAGATTGAAGAGGCTGCCTTCTAACGGCTTTCAAAAGCAAACAATACATGGATGCAGAATTTGGACCTGAAGTCAATTTTGTACTAAATTTTTAGCCCCTCTACTCCAAGCTCAGTAGCTCAAAGATTCAGCAGCGACTGGCAGTGTTTCTGACTGCTTTTCCTTTCCGCTGTTAATAGTTGAGCACCATGGCAGCACGGCTGCTTGCGCGTTCTGACCTAAATGAAATCTCAGCACTGCAAGTCAGTGGTAGCTGGTCTGCGTGAGGGGCAGCATCTCCCAGCTCAGCCAAGCCGCCAGCAACTTGCTGAGGCCAAATTCAGCAGGAGCCCAGTGCTTGATGGGAGCTGGGAGCCTGTCTTACACAAAGGCAAAGTGCCATAAATGCTTTTCAGACTCTAGAGAAGCTGTGAGACCTTGTGTCTCTCGAGGTGAGATTTGGCCTCTTCAAGAGGCAACAGCTCCTTTGCTCCCTATTTTCCACTGTTTGGAATTCAAACAGAACCAGGAGCAACTGGATTTCACCCAAATTCACAAACTGACAGTTTTATGCTGTGTTACTCCCTCTGTATTCCTGAAAATCCACCCACTGATGCAGAGTAGTAGTGATACAATGCTTTGGCCTTTAGCAACCCTTTTCAGCTCTGGCACTATTTCCCTCATTATTGTGCCATGTGTCTGCTTCCAAGGTGTACATTTTAGCCTTCCTCCTTAGCATAGCCGTGCATACAGGTGGTCTCTTTCCAACTGCAAGGATTGCTTTCATTTTTCCACTTCCCAGCACCACTAGCACCCCTCATTCATCTCTAATATAAGGCTTGGAAACACCAGATTATGCTTCCATTAATTTTAAAAGGCTTGATGCTGCCATGTCTGTACCTCCTGGGAGCAAGGCAGGAGCAACACCTTTCACAAAAAGATTACAAATCCACCCATCCAAACAGTTTCATTTAAGCATGCTGAGAAACTTCGCTAAGGGCAAGCAATACAGGATAACATTTTAAAGTGTAAGACATAATTCACACCCCTAACTAAACCACCTAGGTTTTCTCTCCTTATTTCTCTCTTTATTTCTGCAAAACCTTTAATCTCACAGGAGATATATTTACATGCAGAGCTCTGTATCCTGAGTTATATGCTGAGGATGTCCCCAGCTTTAATGAAGCCCTAAGAGCAGTGCAGGCAGGAAAGATATTGGTTGAATCATTGGGACAAAGACATTTAACCTGCAGAATCACCAATTCATTCCTACAAGCAATCAAGTTTATTACCTAAATAAAATTATTTTGGATTTTGAGCACAATAAATTTTCCGTGTTCTTTGCCTCTGAAGAGCTGATAGAAAAGCAAACTTGAAGCTAGCCCTCAGGTTCCTACCACCATGCATCATGGCTGTTGCTCACCTGCCTGTTTATCTCCCATGTCCCTTTGTGGAGGAATCCTGTTCTGTAGTATTAAGAATAACTTCTGCTCTTTGAATTCAACTAAAAAGAAATTTCTAAAGGAAAAAAGAACACCTTATTACACTCTCATCCTTAATGTTCTGCAGACGTAGGAGATAGGAATGTGGAGACATAATGTGAAACTATTAAAGAAGAAAGTTATATTTGGATAGAGTGTTTATAGTAGTGGGGATTGCACAGCAGAAATAAGTTCCGTTTCTACATCAGTATCTGCACCATTTACTGTAATGGATATCAGCTACCTTCTGGGCCTGATCAGCCACTGTCCTGCATCTTATACAAGCGAAAATATCCGTGCATAGTAAAAGTGCAACGATTACTATGCACTAGCAACTCAAACTGCAGTGCTGTAGTGCTAAACATAAAGGTAAAAAAGCAGTGGATAAACCCTTTTAATCGCATTAGAAACCAATCTGTTTGCATTGCTAGTAGCACCATGCCTTGATGTCTAATTGAACCAAAAATTCTCCAAATTCAATCTGTAGGAGCCTTGTTGAGCTCCTCAGCCTGATTCTCCTGTTCCTGTAACAGACACTAGGGTATGAGGCAATACAAAGTGAGAGCCCAAAAATATTTACCTTTAGAAGCAAAGCAAGCATTTATCTCATCTTTATTTGTCCACTGCTGACAAAACAACTCACAAGCTCATGACCTGCACCCACTCCCCCCATTTCTCCAGCACTCTTGCACTAGCCAGAAAGTAGCCGTGTGTGTGCGCACACCAAGCGAGTGCCTTTGAAATAGCACACCTCACTGCGGCATGATAAAACAGTCACTGTGTGGCTGCTCTGTAGGAAAGCCTGTCAAATTGTTGCTCTGTTTAATATAATCAGCTGTGAGGACTGCGGCCGCTGAAGTGCTCACAGGGTAAGGAAGTCTGGGACAGCACAAAGGTAAAAAGCGAAGGAAAACGACTGACAGCTGCCACAGCCTTCATTCTTGGGGAGCAGCAGCAAATTAGCGTGACCTTGCAGAAATATTTGGAGAAGAATGGAGACATTGATTTAATAACCAGTTGTGTAATTCGAATCACAGATAACTTTAAAGTGCTTCCTGAACAACATTTTAAAATTTCAATGCTATTCAGTTGTTAATCTTACACTAATATACAATGCTTTTGATTCAAAATATAAATTGTTAATTTACTTTCCTTGGTTTTGCTGATAACAATGTATTTGAAAACAAAATTGTCTTTTTTGATAGAAGTGGAATATCTGTGTAACCGCCTTTTTTCTTCTCCACCCGTGCGGTGGTGGTTACTATGGTAATATTCGTGATTCAAGATTTAAAGCCTTAAAGTGGTTTCTATAACAACATGCTAGGATGTTTTGGACACAACTGAAGTTAAGGACTCAGGATTAACCCTTAATGTCCACATTATTTGTAGACACAACGACAAGTGCTTGCTTGTTTGGCAAAAGTTTGTTCATACCTTCTTCCCAAGGTACGCTTTTTCATTGAGCTGACTGTGTAATAATTCCAGCTGTGGATAGAACAGGTCAGGTCCTGGGGCTGGCACTTTCCTTCAAGGTGAATCTCACAAAGGAGAAATGGCACCACGGTTACTATAAGCTGCTCATTACAATAAATAATTAAGATAGTATAACAGCATATTGGGAAATGGGAAGGGAAGGGGTAAAATAGTGTGATGTTGAAGAAGTTTGAGACTTTAGTCTGGAAATCAGAACTGTGTGGAAAAACTGAAATGGTCTATTCACAGAAAATCTTGATGGAAAAGCTATTCTGAGGGCTAAAACAGCCCCTTACCTGACTCTGTTTTATCCAGAATGGCATGGTTACCTGTCGTTTTCTTCCCCATCTGCCAACTGCTGATCCATGAATGGCATCTCTGCCTTTCAGTCCATGGTGACAGTATCTGATCCCAATCTCTGTCACTGTCGATTATGCAGCTGTGCTCATCCCTCCCCTCGTTCTTCAAGGTAAATCAAGATTGAATGTATATGCACACCCACAACTTTTTAAGGCTGTCTTTGCAAAGAAGTTATTGTCATGGTGATGAACTGTATTTTCTATGTCATGGTGCACTGCAGATAAACGGAGATATGCTTAGTTATACCAGTGCCAAGCACTCTTCAATGAAGCACTAAATGCCTTGGGCAAGATTTTAATATTTCCAGTTAAATGCTAATTATTGCAAAATCTCACTAAAGTCACAGAGCTTGATATTTCAGTGACACAGATTCACACACTTGTTTTAAAATCCCAGGGGCAAGTTTTAAACAAGAAACGAACACAAGCATTGAAGGTTCTTATTTCTAACTCCAGTCACTGGGCTATCTAAACCCTTTCTACCATCATGTTACCCCATGACTTCTTTAGTGAGCTTATTTGGTCACCAGGTAAGCCTTCTGTTGTTAGCAAATGCTGTACACTGGATTTGATTCAACAGAATACAGATTGAAGTAAGAGCACTAAGAGAAGCAATGGTTGCTTTATTTAACCCAATGAAATTTTGTCTTCCTAGTGACTGACCACAACCAAGTTGTCAATTACATAAGCTATTTTAGCAAATTAGAAACAAACAAACAAAAAAACCCCAACATGTATTTTCTTTGGTTTTTTGTTGTTTTTTAAGACAAACAAACAAAAAAACATTTTTTTTGCTACTGTAATTCAATATTTTTTTTCCGTAGGAGTATTTTTAAAGTTTAATTTCTCAACTCATAGACCAGCATATTGTTTTTTTGCTATCAATTTTTTCCAGAATGTATGAGTTAATAAAACATCAGATTTTGCAGTGAACTGCTTTATCTTCATTAGCGTGTTGCTTCCTAGTTTTAATTCAAACATGTGAAGTAATAACTCTTTGTTAAAAAAAAAATAAGGTAAAGAAAAAAATAAAGAAGTCCTACTCAAAGCACAGTAAACTCACCAACATTGATGACTGTAAGGGTATCAAGAAGTTCTCTATCTTCTCATAGATTTTTAGGCTTTTTTCTAGCAAATAAACTGGCTCTGCTAAGGTCAGAAAATCTCTGCAGCATAGGTAAGAGTCTGAAGCTGTTAGTGATGAGGGCTTCTGTGACACTCAGAATCCTCCTTCAGGGGAAGGAGTCATGCTTGAAGAACAGCATTGCAAATTGCAAGCAGCCTCCAGGCACGATAAGATGATTAGCAAAGTGCAGGCATGACCACAGCCAAGTGAACTCCAGTCCATAACAATGTGATTAGCAGTGACTGAAATTTGATTTTAAATTCTGTTGCTGATTAAAGTATTTCACCAACTTGTAGGAAGAGTCATGTCCTGAAAGACCAAGACTTTGCTGAAAGACATTTCTGACAGAAACAACCCAATGCAGTTTCCTACGGGTTTCATTGTGGGCTTTGAAATGGCTGAGATTGTTAATCAGATTCTCAGAATTTGGGACCATCAACTCATTTTGCTTTTGATTTTATCAACTTAAGATAGCAGAATATTTTGAAAAGCACACAAACTCTGCAGGTCTCTGATTCAAATAGGATCTAAGATAAAAACCTCCAAATTGTCAGGAAAGATACATGGATGAGCTCTTCAAAATTACCTGCTTTACTGAAGAACATTAGTTTCCTTGGCAGGAGTCAGAAGATCTGTACCAATTACTTTGGCCCTTTCAAAACTCCTGCCCTTTTTAACTTAACTTTCCCACTAATTGAATTTTGCCCTCCTATGCTTTTTGTCATGTATTTCTAACATACTAAAAATTGGTTTGTATCACTGCAGTGGTTTCTGATTCCTCAGAAGTTTTTACCAGTTAAAATCATGCATTTTCAGTGTTGATTAGCTATATAAGTTCAATTATTCATACACTAACAAGATCGCTTTAATGAATTTAAATAAACTTATCCAAGATGAAAAAAATACTGTCTTTTGCTTGGCATTTCTTGTCTTTAATAGTTTGTACCAGTTCTTGTGAAAGATGCATGTTTCTGGTAGTACCGACGATTTGACAGTAGATGGCAAGCTTTACTGTAAAGAATTTTACTGCTAAACATCTCATCTGCATCAAAAGGATTTAACCATGGGGTAAAATGCTTGGCACTAATTCCTGTCGTAATTAGATTAATGTACCAATGTTTATAAAGAGACTGATAATTACTTCAAGTGTCAGTCAGTGTAAATCCAAAGTGATCAGCATTTTGTTTCCATTTTTCTAATGTTACATACAAGTTTTAGGACTCTGTCAGAACAAGGCACTGCTAAAGTGACCTTAATTGCTTAAGAATGAAGACGACTCCTCTGCATATCTGAGCTAGAGCATGAGGCCTTTCCAAGTCATCCCTCTGCAACCTTCTCAAAAATCAAGCTCCCCAAAATACCAAAATATTTCCATCCCTTAGAGCTCTTTCTGCAAATGTAGTAGAGAATATTGTTTAGCCATCATCTCAAACTGAGCCAGCCTTAGCATCAGACACCATCATACTCTGCCACAACACATTGCAGAGCATGGGGGAGTTTAGCTTCCACATGCTAGGATCTTCTTCCTCTCTCATTTCCATATAGCTCTCAACAACTCAACAGGTTCCCAAATGCATCCCTACACATCACCCCAGAGCAGCAGGGAAACTGTTTCCATAGAGCAGGAAGGGAAGTAGTGTAAATAACTTGTCTAAAATAGGTGGAAAACTGTGCTCTAACTAGTGATCCGGGATCCAAGGATTTCCTGAAGCACTCACATCATTTAGGAATATGATTTGTCTTTAAAAATCATAGGAATGTCCCGGTGAGCTGCATACCATTTGATAACCACAGTATGATAGTTGATGATCACCTTTTTGAGACACAGTTTTCCTGCTGGGGTAAAACTACTGTATAGCATCCCTAACAAAAACTCTTGGTCCTAGCCTTTAAATCACAAGTAAGCTAAAACTCAGCAGTGATTACATCTCTGCTAAGACCTTCAGAATTCTTGTGCTTCTCAAGAACTACTTAAATAATAAAAAACATGGCACAGAACATTAGAATGAAGATAAGACTCCAAAAACTTTATTGCTTCACTGTAAACTTGTAGTAAAAATGGGACAAAAGCATCCTCTAGGGAGGATTGGATTTATTGAATTGTCTGTTGACAATTTCTGCATAATAAATTTGTTTTATAAAAGCCATGGGAGTTGAAATTAAGATACTAGTTTAAAAAATCCAGGAAAGGTTTTCTGTTTCATGTTTTTCCCATTGTGGTGTCGCCTTGGAGACAAATTGGTTGCCTTCACTACAGACTGTGCTTTTAGGGCTTGCTTTCCTCTTCTCTCATTTTCCATCCACTATTACTGCCTCAGAGAGGTAAGAAGCTTTTTAACCAGTGCTCAAAGCCACTATGTTGCTATCAAAACTGCAGACTGGCTATGCTTCAGTTTCTCTCACACAGTCATTACAACAAATTGAGTTGTTGCATGCAAATTATCACTGGAAAAGTAGTAATAATTAACTAAATTGCTTCTCCTGTCACAGTGGTCCTACTTAAGAAGCACTTGAATGATTGACCTCACCTCTTGTAGTTTACACAGTACAATAGTTAGATAACATTGTAATTTAATCATAGTTAATTTCTTCAAATCTGCAATGTCTCTTCAAATATGCACTTTTAATGAATTTTAAGTAGGTAGGCAGATTGAAAGAAAAGCTCTTTAAAGTTATGCAATCTTACAAAAAATGTGAGATGCAAAAGTTCCTAAGGAATGCAGTTTTGCCCATTTTAGCTGTAATTAATAGATTGAAGTAAGCTCTTTATTATCCAGGCTAAAGAAAATAAATTAAATGCATGGGTAATATAAAAAATGATGCAAACTAGGACATCAAAGCATACATGAGGGTGTGTTGAGGAGGAGAAAGGTTTGTGATACTGCTGACTATGGAGCAAGTCAGTACACCATGGCCAATGTCTTGAAATTTGCATTCATTGAGAGATGTGAGCTGGGGGAAGTACAGCTGACACCACGTTAGGATGAAATATCTGCTGCCAGTGCAAAACGATGTTAACAGGTTTGAGGACGCTATTTTAAAGGCAAGCTAAATCAGAGGTACTATTTTTGTCCTGTTTTCTTTCAAAGAACAGGAGGTAAATCTCCAGTTCTCCTCCTACTAATAAATGTTTAGCTTGCTTTCTTAATCAGATTATTTCAGCCTGCATTAAATAGAGATAATCTTTACCAAGAAAAGACCATACCTTTTCTAAATATTTCTCCTCTGCATGTCTGATGTATATGAGCATGACAACAGCTAAAAACAGTTCTAACAACATTTCTCAAATTTTATACATGCAACACCTCAAAATAAACAACTGAAAAACTATTTCTATGTAATCCTTAAAACCACTGTTAGTTTCTTTTAAATCATGTCACTGTTTCTATCAATGTTACTACATAAATCTGTATTATTCTTGTCCAAACAAGTATTAATTAGGTATTTGACTCAGTAAATGTTCCTATTTATGAGCATCAAGTTCATTCAGATTTGTGCTTTTTATTCTCAGAGGCACTGCTGCTCCTGTGTACACCTCAAGTCAGAAGACACAACAGTAAAGCACAGATAACTTTTCCAACCTCACCATTTATTATCATAGTGTCATATCTGCATAAGCTGTATTTCCCAAGCTGATGAAGCCTTCTGAGGCTGTCTTTCTTCACTTCCTCTTCCTGGCAAAAAAAACAGTTTAAATTACAATATGTATTAAAATACCCATTATGAAAATGCACCCTCATCAGTCAGTTTGTATTCTCTAACAATCCCCCATGCTTGGTTGTTATCCTGCTAGCCTCTCACTTTCCCAGCCAGCCAGGGATCTGTTCCAGGACTTTACCAGTATTAGTCTAGCCCCAGTTGTTGATCAGCATCTCTACATGCTGCTTCTCTTTCAATGCCCCATCTCCTTCTCTGTTGTCTCCACCCTCCTGAATCTCAGTTCCAAGAACCAGGAAGAAATTAGAGACTGATGGTCAGTAGGTCTGAATTCCTCCAAGAAGTTCAGCTCATCCACAACACCCTGTTTGCACAAACATACAGTTCTGCCATTCATTTTCAATAACAGCTGTAGAAGGCACATACCCTTTGTATTTGCAAACAAGACTCCAGAATAAAAGTATAAACTGAAAGAAAAAACAAGGATGTTTACAGGACTCCCATATAGATTGTTTCATGGAACCTTCATTTTCCAGCCCACTAGCCTTTCCCTTCTGAATCACCACCTTCTCTCCAAAAAAGAACATGCAGCTTTATTTCATAGATTTTGGGCCAAGATATGACTGCTTTCTTTCCCTCTCATGATACAAATAGGTTTGTGGTTTTTTTTTTTTTTTCTCTAGCAATATGCAAAGTATTTGTTTACAATTTCACCCTCATGTTTTGAGGAATGTTGCATTGTAATCACATTAGAAGTCTGATGGTATTCAGATGTTCACTATACAGCAGAGGATTTCTTATGGTGAAAATTGTTTGCAAAAGAAAAAATTGTACTGGATAGAACTCTTCTTATTAAACTCCAGATCAGATTTTCCAGTTTGATTAGCAGGAATTAAAATACTATACATGCATGTGGCTTTTTAGGTCAGTATTTATGTTTTCTGTTTTCTAGGTGGTTTATGTCAGTAAATAACTACTTGTTTTTCTTCTCTCCATTAATCACTATCAGGTTTGATCTGCTATTGTTTCACTTTACTAGCACAGGATTTGGAGGCAACTCCAGGATTTCTTCCACTAGATTCTCCTCAGCATTCAAAAGCTTGACCTTTAGACCAAGATAGAGGTCTAGAGCAAACACCCCATTTGCAGTCATTCCTTTGCTTGTTACCCTCTCCACAGTCTTGACTCAGTTTATGTGTGAGTAACAAAATTCCCAAATGCTGCAGGATGTGTGCTGATGATTAACACCGTTTCCACTACCCATACTAAAACAATGGCAAGTCATGACAGAAGCAACATGATATTATGAGTTTAATTTAGTGATCAATAGAACCCCATTGCACGCTTTACCTATGTCTGTGCTGTATGTGGGAGATACCATTATAGCACACATAAATGTACAAAAGCTTCAGTCTAGCTTACTTAATATTTTTGGCAGTGAAGCTGTGAGGATTCAGCCCAGGTCAACACACCTACCTCAGACACTCAGTATCTGGCACCTTGTTGCTATTGCTTAGCATGTCTAACACTGATTTTAAGGCAGCAGGTAGATACCTGTATATGTATGCTATGCTTATCTGAATACAGGCTTTTATTTTGTTATGGAGACAATTAATCATGACTTTAAAAATTATACAGTTTCTTTGCAAAATTCTCAATTTCTTTTACTAGAAAAAACATCCTTCACTACTTTCACTCTAGCAGTGTTTCTCAGTGTTGGTTAGGAGCAATGCTGGTAACAGCTCGTTCCTCCTTGATTGGGAAGTGAGAAGTAGCTATTGCTGTTGTCAGTCTTTACAGCAGCAAGGCAACTACAAGTGGCTTTTAATTACTGCCAGGATCTCAGTTCCTAGAGGGTAAAGAACATGTTTACACCATGTTCACCATGTCCTCCCATCCTCACAGGCTGGAAGGCTCTCAAAGTGCTATTTTGGATCTCAGGTGTTTGGGAGATTCTTTGTGGTGGAAATGCTATAGAGCTGTCAAATTGCTACTTATAATCAGGAAGTCAAGATCAAAGTGCATGATGGTTTGAACCACTTGAGCTATAACTGCATCCAAGTCATCAACAAAGCCATTAGCTTTGTTGAAATGTAATACAAAAAAACTTCCACCCAAAAGAATACAAAGTGGTATTGAACTGAAAAATGTGGTTCAACTCCTTTCTCTAGTAAAAAAAGGAACAAAACCAAAAAACCACCCCATCCTTGTCTTAAATATACCTAAATGAATTCCATATTGTTGGATATCTCTTGTCAACCACTAATATTACTGCAACTGTACTCTTAATATATTGTTAACCAATCCTGACACTCCAGGCCATGGTTGTTGGAAGAGGTGAGAACAGGAAATTACAACCTACTCAAATTTTCATAATTGTTTTCAATTTACATTTATTAGTCTACTAATATGCAGCACACAGTTACCAGCCCTGTTTTCTTCTCAAGAGCCAACAACTGGAACTGTTGGGTTTGGAGCACAGTTGTCTTAAGAGTGGCACTTCTTTTACTCTTGGTTACTCCCAGTGCTGTGGAAATCCTCAGGATGTTATGTGTTTCTTTTCTAGAGTCACTTTGCATGAGGAATGATTCCAGGTGCCTGTCAAACTCTTGCCAAAAGAACTCTACATGCATTGTTGGTCGTAAAGATGATACTTGCCATTGTACAGATGAATCACTGGACAGTGTGGAAGAACTCTGCAATAAAACCTCTGATCCTTGCTCCTCAAACCCTTGTCTTCAAAATGCTACCTGTTTAAGCTCTGCTGGAAACCTCAGCTTTTCTTGTGAGTGCCCTGCTGGGTATAATGGACCTACCTGCGAAACAGCCATCAGCATGTGTGACACAAACCCTTGTGAGCATGGAGGCACCTGCCAAATTGACCTGGCTGGGCCCACCTGCCTTTGTAGTGCAGGATACACAGGTACACTCTGTGAAACGGATTTTGATGAATGCATTTCCGAACCGTGCCACAATGGAGCGGTGTGCAGGGATGGGGTTGATGAATACTCCTGCTACTGCGTCCCAGGCTACCAAGGCAAGCACTGTGACCTGGAAGTGAACGAATGTGCATCAGATCCATGCCTGAATGGGGCAACGTGTCTCAACCAGATAGGACAGTATGGCTGCATCTGTCCACTTGGGTACACAGGTAAGCACTATTAAAACAACTTTTTCTTTGCATTGTGGAGAACCATCATCACTCATATTTCCAAGTTCAACTCCCCCACCCCAAAATTTATTTAGTCATATCTGTATTATCACTTTACCTTCAGCTTCAGCACCAGTGACTGCTGGTGCATTACAGGTTACCTTATCATTGTGAACTACAGATATCAGATAGAGAAGGATTAAAGAAATCTCACATTTACCGAAAACTACAGAGCAGGTTTTGTGAATGTCAAGCTATGCCACAGGGCTAGGTTAACGCTCCTTTCTTTTAAAAGAAACATTCTCAAAATGCATATCCTCAGAGTGCTATACATAGTTTTTTGTCCTCAGACAAAACCTACATTTGACAGGGTTAAAAATTAGATCTAATTAGACTTCCTTGATCTGCTAATCATGATAAACTGTACTCTTAAACCTAGAGACATTTCACGTTAACTTCCTCTCCTCTGCCCTTCCCAGAAACAGAGGACTCATTTGCAACTAAAACTTCATGTAAGTTAAATAGAAAAGTACTATCAGGTTCCCAAACTGCCCATTTTTTGATAATCCCATTTTATGTGGCTCCATTTTTAAGGTGCAAGTGTGTTTTTTCTTGCCTACTTCCTCTACTGGAGAGCATGTAATCCTTGTGGGAGACAGCTCCCTTCAAATTTCAAAGCTGTATTCAGGGGTAAGACTGCAAGAGCTAGCACACTGAATCATTAAAAGAAGAAAAGGGGAGACATTTTAGTGATAGATTGCTAGCCAGGTAAGCTAAGGAAAGAAAAAAAAAAAAAAAAACCAAAAACAAACAAAAAAAAAAACCCAACCAAACAAGAAAAGAGTCATACGGAGGGAAAAAAAGCAGCTATTGCTTCAAGTGATTCAAATAAATAAGAAATAAGAGATGTGGTTTACAGCTCCATCCCCAAATCCCCATGCAGGAGGGGAAGTCAGAGGTAAAAAGCAGCTTTCCTGTGTCTGACATAGCACTTGTTGGAAGCCAGCCCTCGGTTAATATCCCTCATGAGCACAGAGAATGTTATTTGAAGGAAGCTTGTTACCTTCCTGCCACCCCGCTGCTGCCAGCGGGTGTCTAAGCCCAGGCCAGCCAAGGAGAAAACTGCACAACCGGGGAAAAGCCGAAGAGCAGAAGGAAGGAAAAACCTATTAACAGCCAGCATGGTTACTCTGCAATGATCAGACTTAGCCCAGACCTCCTGTTGTATTCAGGAAACTGTATTTGTTTAACTGGCACTGTTAGTCAGGTCCAGGCCTGGATCCATAGCCCAAGAACCCGGTTTGAAAGACATAGAATATACACCTTAGAGACAAAGAGAGAGAAAACATAATAAAATAATAAAGCCCAAACAAAATAAAATAAATTAAGATTTAGATCAACACAAACTGCTGAGGGGAACTCGCTCTGCTGGCGTTGCTCCACTTTCATCACGAAATTCTGCTGTTTCTCAGGCTGATGCTCTCTGTTCTCACCAAAAATCTAACAATGCCACCAAGTGCTCCACACTCAGCACAAGTGGAGTTAAGAAATGAGGAGAAAACCAAGAAAGGAGAAGTAGTCTAAAACACAAAGCAGAAGAGGCTGCAGTGTTTTGACATACAGCTCCGACACTGCTTCCAGCAGCAAAGAGACTAATCATAATAATTCTATAGAGTAGCAGCAGACTGTTCCTTCAGCAGTAAAACACCAGTTTTTAAAGGCTACTTAACAAAATGATTTATCAGAAGCATTCTTTTTTGTTGTTTTCTGCACCTTGCTGTGAGTTGTGCTAAATGCACAAGCCAGAGGGATTACTGGATGAAAGCCCTGAGGTGTACCCACTGGTAATAAAAACCCTCATTTACTCTGTCAGGGGATCTTGCCAACCATTATTATCCTGGCCTGACACCATGAATTACTGTAGGAAGTCATCCAGCCTCATCTCATTTCCCTAAGATGTTAAAAAGGTTTTATCTCTTGATATGTAGGTAGAGAACGTACAGTAAATCTACAGCAGTAATGTTAACCAAATGCTTGAGTTACTGGATGCAGTTGCTACTTGTTTCATGGACTATGACTGCTATTTTGTATGATTGGTATGCTGCAGCACTTCTTAAAATAGCTGAGAAATGTCACACATAATTCTTACACAAATGGAAGAGGTTAGAACGCACTAAGAGCCAAAGACTGGAAAATTTAGCATGAAATCTGCAGTTTCTATGATAATGTTCTGCATGTGTGAAATTATTTACAAGACATGTGTCACGCAGCTGTTAAATAATGAAGCTCAATCAGTTTGTTGAAGTTTTGCTGGCTACCTAAATCAAATGCATTTTTTCCTCCGTTGCACTAATTACACTGGCTTTTAATTCACCCCAACAGAGCATGGTCTAAGAGCCTGTTATTACCCACAGCTAGGTGCATTAATTACCTTGCTGGACACAGCTGAAGCCAGCCCTTCCTTGCCAGTGAACATTTTAGTGTGAACTATCAGTGGTGCACAGCAGTTACAAATCCCAGTCTTAGCCCAAGACAACAGCAAGAGAAAGTGTTTCAGTGACAGATGAAATAGGTGCAATGAGCTAGGTTCATTTGTGCAATAGCTTTTATTATGAAGTAACCATAGCTGGGATGAACTCTGTACAATATGAGGAAATCAATCCTGACAGATCTTTCAATTCTTATGCAGTATTTTTATCAATAATGTATACACCATGGAAATATTTAGAGTAGATGCATCATAAGTCTTAAGCACTTAACGGCAAACAGAGGCACAGCAGCCTCTGCCATGGGACAAAGCACCTCAAGTACAGATGTCGTGTGCCAACAAACTCATGGCAGTATCACCGTGGATATCGGTAACAAACAACATTGTCCATCCAACAGCAATTGCCAAAGTGGAAAGCCTGTTTCCTTCCTTAGCTTTCAAGTTGCAAACCAGCTCTCCCGACCTTGCGCCCAAGCCAGCCTGATCAGAGGCTTCAGCCCAGATTCTCAGCTCTGCTGAGATTCCTAAGCACAAGACTGACTTGAGAGGAGCCTAGCAGCACTGGCCACACGTCAAAGGGTTTTCAAAACAAAGGTTAGCTAGCAGAGAGCCCATACATCCAAAGTTTGCTTGTTGCAGTTCATAACTTCACAGTGCTGAAACCTTTGATTTGATTTAGCCCCACTGTTCTCCTCCAATTGTGTCTGCATAGTGCAGTGTTGTAACACCCGTAACAACTTACATCTGTGTGTGCATGCAGGTGGTTAGTACAGACCTGTGTGCAGAAAGGATGAGCCTTGCTCCAAGAAACTGAACCTTTCCCTCTAATTTTTGATGAACCCTCTTCTTGTCCCTTCAAAGCTGGTGCCTAGAAAATAGCTATCTGACACTCTATTCAGACGGTGGCACTTAAGTTTTCTATATACAGATTGAGAAATTTGGGGACAGTCCTCTGTACCTGCCTTGTCCGAGCACAGCACTACAGTGTAGGAGAGCAGAAAGGGTGACGTGCGTGCCAATTTCCAGCCGTACTAAGAACTTGCAGGTCCTCCTGGAACTATGCTGGGCCTGCAAACCCCTAGTGTCTTTGACCAGAAGGAGATTTTTACAATATATCTGTAGGCAGGCAAGTTTGAAAATGTTGGCTGTGTTTCCTTCATCCTCACCTGCATTTACTTTTTATTGACTGGGGCTGTACAAAGAAGTGCACAGTAGGACTCATTTGAAAAGCAAGCAGTATAAGAAATAATCTTAGTTCTTCAAAGAAACTGCAAAAGTTATAAATATCACTTATATTGACCTCTCCAGTCTCTCAATTCAAGCCACTTGTGCGGTTTGGTATCTGCTGAAACACCCTGCCTGCTCTCAGACAGGATGCCTTTGCTCTTGATGGTGTAGCCCCATGAAATAACTGCAGCAGGGTTTGTTGGTACTTTTTTTCCTTTCTGGCATATGATATTTGGCATACAGCATATTTATGACAGAATGTTAGATTGAGGTGCAAATGCAGATCTAATCTTTTCATCTCTCCTTCACATATAAGAAAGCCTGACAGCAGATTCAGCAGAGGCTAGGAAGGAATTCCCCCCATTTGCGTGGCATATCGCATTGGCTGGATGCATTATACAGAAAGAAGTTTTCTTCTGAGGCAACATTGCCGAAGGCAGGTTACTGGGCTTGATAGATTAAAGACATGAACCAAAACAACAACGCTATGTTCTCATGTTAATCGTCAGGCTGTTCTCAGGCCTGTAGTTTTAGATTTGGCTGAACTGAGGATCAGTTGCACAGGGCTTGTTTTGTCACATGATTTTTAGTGTTCGCAGTAAGCTGTTAACAAGCTTTGGCAGATTTACGGTCACTAGACATACTTCTGCAAACACATTGTTTACAATTACAGCGAATTCACAGGGCAATGACCACGGAGGGATTGCTCACTATATCTGGATGTAATGTACATTACCATAAAGCCATAAGAGAGCGGTTCCTGTGCTAGGGTCTCGCAGCAGGCTCCTGCTGAAAGGAGTGGCTAGCTGGCAGTGACTCAAAGTGGAGGCACGGGACAGGCAGCCTCACCCATCCAGTGTTCTATATGTGGTCTCAAGGAACTATAAAAAAATATATTCTCTCAAATTACAGCAGTAATGGTTTTGAACTACGGGAAAGATGAACTTGCACTTTAATGTTTAAATACAATTAAAAGTAGTTATGAGCTAACATCCTCAAATTTTGTTTTGGCATTTTAAGATATTTCCAGGTATTTATCCGTAACATGGATTTTTTTTTTTTTTTTTTTTAAGATGTTACATTCACAGGGGTCAAAATAAATTAATGATCAAGTAACAGCGCTAAATATTAGGAATCTCAGTGTTTCGAGAAGGGTGTTCTGAGTTAGAACGTAAAAATTTCACAGCAGGACAGAGCTGGTAAGAACAACATAACAGAAAGAACTAGAGGAGAGCTCCTAAATAAATTGCTAAGATAATATCTATCTTCAAAATGTGTTTGTTCCCATCTTGTGAAAGCCTGCCCCATCATCCTGTACTGAAAACTTCATCTCTCCAAAGAAACGGAACCCATTCTCAGGGCTGCAGATTCTCTTTTAAGTAGGAAATTCCTCCGAAAACTATTTATAATACTACTGATACTTTGTTGAGCCAAAAAAAAATATAGGGAACTCCACTTAAAAGCAGGTTCTTCATTATAATTTGCCATTTTGCATCTGTTTTATGGCCAGTTCTGTAGCTGTTAAAACAAATTGGCTTGGCAGGTGAAAATTATTTTTAAAAAATAAAATTCTATTACTCCAAATACTAAATAAATGCATAAGCATACAAACCCCTGAAATAATCGAAGCAGGAGCTGCAAGGCATTAATTATGTAATTTTCTTAGTGTTTTCTGGACTGTGCTAGAGATAAGAAAAAGGAGTGTATATTCAACCTGCCAACTATCCTAAATAGCTGTAAACTAATATTAGAAGTGATTTAGTTCCATCAATTACCTCTGAAGAGCAGCTCCAAGATCCTGACCTGTTGCAAACATGGCATCATAGGCCGATTTATTTACATATTGCTAAACCTTCAAAAAAAAAAAAAAAAAAAAAAAAAGAAATCCATAAAACATAGCTAAACAGACAGCTTCCCAATTAATTCAGTTAACTGTGCAGCTTTACATGGACTCTTCTGAAGTCATTAGATTACTAGTCACTTCTGTATTATATAAATAAGATAGTGGCATAGTTTGAATAATCTGAAAATTAGTTAATTCGGTTTCCATGTTCAAGCTAACAGAAGAAGTTATTATTCTACCCATTCTTGTGAATAACAGCTGATTTGTTCTTTTGTAAGTTCTCCCAAGCCTTGAAAAAAACCTAGATTTGCAATGCACATTGATGAGGAAATACCTTTTAAAACTAGGCAATTGCTTAAAAAAAAAAAAAAAAAAAATTATGTGAATATTATACTTAAAGCAGTCTTTGCTGAGATCTCCAGAAGTAACCACCTCCTAAGTTTGGGGTTTGCTTGTTTCCTCGGATTTTGAAGGTACAAACTGCGAGCTGGAAATAGATGAGTGCTGGTCACAGCCATGCCTGAACGGCGCGACCTGCCGCGATTCCCTGGGGAGCTTCTCCTGCTCCTGCGCGCCCGGCTTCCTCGGCCACCTCTGTGAAACCAACTTCGACGAGTGCGCCAGCCGGCCGTGCCTCAACGGGGGACAGTGCACGGACGATGCCAACAGGTACGTCTTCTCCAGCTGGGTAACTCTGCTGGGAGGTGCTATTAGCTCCTGTTTGCAGATGGGAACGCTACAAGAGCCTGGGCTGCCAGGTAGCTGATTTCATTTCAAATTGTGGTTATCACTCCTTGATCCTGCAATGATTTCAGTTTAAATTTGAAAAGGATTAAAGAATGCAAGTCTGGTTTCAGAGCCAATAGGACAACAAAATATTTATGGCAAAGACTGACCAAGAAGTAAATTTTTCATGCTTGTACTTTAAATATTTACAACATGTTGTGTATCTGGCCCTGAGGATTGTCATTTAGAAATAAATTCTATTTCTAACACTTATCAGACTTTAGTTTCCAGAAGATATGTGTGTGTATAAAATTGAATTTGCCAACAGCAGCTGCCCACACCAATAGGCAGAAGCATTAGAAAATAGAGGCAAACTGTAATAACAGTAACCGTAGTAATAGGTATTATTAGGAAATGTGTCAGGAACTTTACAGACTTATAGGACAACTGCTCCTTCAGTCCATGGGCAAAACTAAATAAATAAATAGAATATGAGGCAACAGAAAACTGAGCTGCTCCACTTGCTGTTAATAGCCCCATACAGAGGTCCAAGCGCAGCCCTGGCAGCCAGAGCTCTGGTAGTCATTCACCGATACCGGCTTTGCATACTCAGTATGAGATTCCCAAACTGAAAATATGTATGTATAAACTCAGTCTGAAAGTCTGTAAGTGTATTCATACAGTGCTCCTCTCACCAATATAAGATTTGTCCTCTATTGTGTATTTTCCAGTTTTTATAAACCAATTTTGAAGATTGTAGTGCCCCAAAAATCAGTCCAAAATGAATGTCAGCAAAAGGCATGCTTGCTTTGAATGAGAGGGGGAAGAGATCATGTTCTGGGAATGAGGTTTTGTACAGCGTGGTGACATGGCACCAACCTTGTGGTGCTCCTTTTCAGCAGTGCTGAATAACTCTGAACAGGACAAAGCGATTTACTGTTTCCCAGTGCAGCTACAGCAGGGCAGCGGGGAGAGGGAGGTCACCTTGCACCTGACTAGTTCACAGCAGAGCCACTTAGTAACCTGCAAGCCTTTTGAGGATAATGCATGAGGTGAGAAACTGGGATGCTCATTCAGGCCAGACTTAATCCTACTCATTTTTCTCCTAGCTTTTAAAGCCGAGGTACATGTAAGAGCAATTTTAATTGGCTTGTAATACAGCAGGGTATCTGGAGAACGATTGGAACTCTTACCACATTTGTTACATGATGAAAAGTGTTGGACAACAAAGCAATTCAAAACAGAAGGGTGTCTAGCAATTTCCTTTCTTTTGTGTATTTTTTGGGTTAAATGAAGAATTGTAGCCTTTTAACACTAGTTTTCTGTTTCTGACTAATGCTACAGTACAGCTGAGGCTTTTGTGTGTGCCACCAGCTCTCACAGAAATGTGCAAGGTGACAGATATATCATTAAAAGCCGTAAACACAAACACCGAACCAAATTCTCTCCCAAATTTCAGACTGATCTTCCAGTGATGTTTCATGAAGGCAGCAAAGTAGAACTTGATCTCTTAAAAAAAATCCCCACAACAACAAAACCAAACAGTTTCACATTATCGCACATCCCTTATTTCAACTCAGCAACTTACAAAGGTGCCTTAGTTGGACCTACAAAACCTGGTGTTCTCAGTCACAGAGGATACCTCTGCATGCTCCAAGCCTTTCTTCCATAGGAAGATGCTCTTTTGATTGTATAGGAAAGCGTATTTGCACGTATTACTTTCTGCATATTGTGAGACCATCAAACAAGAAGCCCCAAAAATAATGTTAGGTAGACTATCTAAGAGTATCACTGTTAATAGAAAAAGCCATTTGCCTGCTTAGTCATAGCCTGCCCACAAGCAGGGCACCCTCCAGAATTCCTGAAGGTCGACAGCAATGTCAAACACAAAGATACCTGAGAAAAAAGGCACATGGGTGGGGTTTCACATTAAACAGCAAGCTGTAAATATTCCTCACTGCTCTGTGATTCTGGACCAAAGGGTAAAAGGAACATGGACTAAAGCAGGGAAAAAAAAAAAAAACCTCACCACAAAGCTGAACAGCACCAAACTGAAGGCACATGGAGGAAATGTGTGAAAAATACAGCAGAAGAAAGAAACTTCTGCTTTGAAAACATACCTCAGAATGAAAATTATTTTTCTGATTCACATCTTCCTCATTACTTTTTATATCCTAAATTCAAATGCCAGCTGGTCTAAGTCATCTCTGATTTTGATTTAAGAATAATCCATATACTAGTAATAAACTGGCCTGCCAGAAGTTTCTGCTTATGTACACTTAAATAGTGTAGTAAAAAGTTTACACTTTTTTGTCTGTTAGACTGCAGGAGCCAGTTGTTCTCTGATGTTCCCTCACGTTCAACAATTGCACTTTCTCTCCATGTATTTACTCCAAGTCTAAGACTTAGATAGTAAGCACAGAAATTATCACATAAGTATAATTATGTCTTGTTCAGCAAGATTCCCCATGATTTCAATTGTACAATAAGGAGTGTATCATTTTAATGTAAAATAAAATACTATAAGAATAAATGTTTGTTTCTGATAATTATTACTGGAACTATACAAGCAATTGACATTTTTTTTCCAACCTGACAGTAAAATATTGTGTTTCATAAAAGAGAATGTATCACTTAGTCAAGGAACAGAAATTTTCTTATTTTTTGCCAATTCAATTTCCACCAGTCTGAGAGAAAGGGATACTAACATACTTACTGCCTCTCGCCTTTTCATTTTGTGAATAATGTTAAACCTACAAGAACTGCATTAGAAATGACAGAAACCTTTTTCTCCAAAAAATAAAATAGGAAGAAAAAAGAAGTTCAGTAATACTTAGAAGAAATGGTCTGTCAAAACCAATTTAATTTCACAAGCATATTTTTCCCCAGACAAAACACACATATTTCAGGAAAAATCTTGTTGTTGGTTCCCAATTTCTATGGTTTCTCCTAGAGCACCAGATGGTGGTCTTGAGCCTGGACTCAACCGTGCAAGCTGCTAGCCAAGGCTATGCAAGAAGCCTGCGCAGATTTGGGAACAAAGCCCAGATCTCCTGACTTCCAGCTAGAGTGAACATTGCATTCTGTATTGCAGGTACAGCTGCAACTGTACTGGTACTGGATTTATGGGCCTACACTGTGAGACCCTAACTCCCTTATGTTGGTCACAACCATGCTACAATAATGGCACTTGTGAGGATAACGCAAACAATTACATATGCCACTGTTGGCCAGGTAAGCTCTGAATTCTCCTACAAACACTCTCTTTCCTTGTATATTAGAGATGTCCTATTTTTTTTTGCTGATACAATAAAAGGTTGAAGCTACACCACCTTAAAAATATTCTATGGACTTGTGTTTAGATGGGCTTCACTCACCATGAGCCAGAGCCTTATGGGCAAGTTGCTCTCCTTTTGCAGCTAAGGATTGATTTCCCTGTACAGCAGAAGCAGGCAAAACCAAAAGTGCCAGTATTATGGGGTCAAGACAGGAGATAAGTCAAAGCTGGGATCTGTCTCCCAGTTGCTTAATCCTTCAACCCATATGATACGTGAATCACTACTGCAGCTGACTTTTTTAGTTTTCATTAGCATGACCTTTAGATCATCTAAAAAAACTTACTTTTCATTGCAAAATGTTGCCTGCTTATGAATAAAAATTAAGCTAGGTGTTACATTGGGAAACTGGTCTCCTTAACATCACCAGTGTAACTTCTTCTGCCTGGCAGCATAGGGTGGAACACTCTGGGCTGGGCTCTCCTCCACCAGCAATACTTGCCTATCCAGCCGTTTGTGAAAAGGCTCCCACAGCCCCACTGGGGACACAGACCCCGCGTTCTCGAGAGACTTTGTGAATCTTTCAGCACGCGGCCTAACTACAGATGTCTCTCTAGAGAGTTTAACGTCCGTGTCCTTACTGAGGATGCAGAAGCACAGAGCACGGTGAGGAGTAAGTGCCACAGTGGTGTTGGACTATATGGTTCTTGCTGCATTAGAAATGGAAAAACTGCACAGAACCCTCAGCATTTTCCAGAAATCAAGTTTTGTGGCACTTCAAGCTCCAGATAAAGCCCTTTACAAACCCAATTTATACTCCCTGCCCTGCTCTGTTGCAGAGAAGTGGTGCAAAAGAAACAGAAACCTTCATAGAACCTGAGAGCATACCTACACCACAACGCAGCGCCCCTCATTATCCACACACATCTCCACATTACTTCCTAAAAAACCCCGAGTCTGTACAGCATAGCTCAGCTCAGCTAGCTAATGCAGAACCGCCACAGCAATACCCTACTGCTGAGCCCCGGCAGAGAACTGCAAGGAAACGCTCACACCTCTGAGCAGCAGAGGGAATCTTTTAGCAGCTGACAAGAGTCTGAAACCAAGCGCATCTTAGTAGTCACAGCATATAGTCACAACAGCACTGTCGGGTCTGGAACGAACGACTAGCCGGTCGGTTGAACGCCTTCTCCTCTGCGCTCTCCGCAGGCTACGCGGGGTCCCGCTGCGAGGAAGACATCGGGGAGTGTGGCAGCAGCCCCTGCCTCTCGGGTGGGGACTGCGTGGAACGCTCCTGGGCCGGCCGCTACGGCAGCGTCCCCGGCCTGCCACCCACCTTCCGCTACGACACGGCCGAGGGCTACATCTGCAGCTGTAAGCCGGGCTTCACCGGTAAGCTCGCCTCGGCGAAAGCTGAGGAAACGATGTGCCGCAGCATCCTGCTGTTTAGGCCCGGCTTAACTAAATTTTTAGCTGAGGTGGGTTAAGGTGCCACAGTGCAGAGGGTCCCTCTGGCGGCCACCGCGCTCGCGGTTCAGCGGGGATCGGCGTGGACGTGGGGGGGACCGGGGGGTGCCCAAGTGGGGGCGTGGGGCTGCGGGACCGCCGTGGCCCCGTGTCAGCAAAGCTTCGCCATCCACGGCCGCATTCACTTGTATTATGCCGTAAGCGCCAGTTAGCAGGTGTCTGATCACCAGGGTGAAATTCACCGTGCAGAGGTATTACATTGCAAGAATGGAAACAGCAGATCACGAATGGGAGAGTATTTTTGTAAAACAGCCATGAAACAACACTCCCAGGCTTTCAGAGTTTCTGTCTATATGCTGTTTGCATCATTCTACATCGCAGCACTAGGGACTGGCAGGGACACTTCATCTGAGCACAAGGCAACATTTTGTATAAACTTGGTGGTCTAGTGTGTTGGTGAATGAAAAATTATCTCAAGTTGTGTGCATAGCTGTGTTCTTGAGGAAAAACAAAAAAAAAACCCAAAGCAAAACAAAAAAACCCTATCAAAATTACAGATAACCATAATCCTAAAAAAGATGTGTTAAGATTTGCATTTAACACAGCCTGCACTATTTAGCACAGACACAAACAAGTTGGTTTTGGATTGTACACTTTTGGGTCTACAGTATTTTTCTATCAACTACATTCTCTTGTTCCTTTCGAAGGAAAAAATAGTTAATAGCTGGATTAATTTAACCAGCCTTCAATTTCTCATCCCATTCATCTGAGAAGCTTAGAGCCATTCCTGTGTCTCCCAGCGAGCTGCCTGACTGCTGTCTCCAACATAGCAGCTACAAAAGTATGTGGAGAACACAAATTTCTGAATTTCCAATTTATTTTTTCTTCAAGACACCATTGGGACTTGTTTGCTTTTCTTCTATCCCTTCCCTTTAACTGTCCTTCCCTATCCCGTCACTAAGTGTTGCTGTTGTTCTTTTGTTCTGCCTATGAGAGTATATTATGAGGCTTCTACTAAGGACAGTGATATCCCCCAGCCTGTCCTAAGCACCCTTACCTCTTCTCATGCCACTTCTTTCTCTTTGCTTCCTCCCAGTGATGTCCAGCTCTCACGTTTCTTTTCCTCCTCTCTTTCCCTAATTTAAAAACTTCTGAGTTCCGTGAGACAACCCAGAAGGTGTTTTGGTTTTTAATCAACATCCTTTTTCCTCTCATTTCCTTATCAATTGCCTTCACCTGGCTTGTTTGCCTGATTTGGGTGGTGATTCTTCTGGTTTCATTCACATGGAGGACTCTTACTCCCCAGGGAGTGCAGGTAGATTCTAAATGGTCTGAAAAAAGAATGTCAGTGTCTATTTGAATCTATTAATCTTAAATCACTTTTTTTAATTGATAAGCTCCTCATTCACATTGTAGGACTCTCCAAAGCATGACTGGGAGAAGTTCTGGAGACTCTGAAATTTCTGCTGACTTCATATGCAAATTACATCACATTTTTTAAAACCTTATCTAAGTTTAGTTATCCATGTACCCTGTTGGATACTATATCTAACTTTCATTGGAAAAAAACAAAATAGTTATTCTTACCAAACAATGTGCCCAGACAACTGGAGGCAGTGAGAACATAATCTTTAACGGGGATGGTTGTAAAAGCTGCGTGTGAAATGTCATTCAATAACATGCTGTAAAATAGTGGCAAAACCAGGTTAATCTTGTTAATCTTGTCAGCTCCTTCCCTGCCTGTTTTTCAGCAGGGCCTAAATTTTAAACTTTTTTTTTTTTTTTTCCTGGCCTCTGCGAGATAAAACATTGCCAAGCAATTTACATATTTATTGAGAAAACAGCAGGATTGCTCTAACTGGCACCCAGCATCCTAGGCTCCCAGGCTTTGCTCTGACAGCCCTTAACTACAATGCAGCCAACCTCCCCGCTCCCCCACCCACCCAGTAGCACTGCAAAATTTCTCTCTGGCCCTTTTCCTTCCCCCAGGTAATCTGGAAGTAACAAGTGCTCAAAATGAGCCTCAGCCATGTATGTCAAAAGCATTGATACAAAAAGCCTATAGGGTAGAGTAGAAACATTCACTTCTGACAGTGATAAGTAATTTCTCCAATTATAGCCAAATTCATAATAAATAAATCACATATTTTAATGGGAATTAAAGAAGATCTAGGATTAGAGTTGATAGCAGTAGTATGATTCAAGGTAGCAGATGAATCCCTGATCAGGATCACTCAGTATATGGGTGCTTGTCTAATGCATATGAACTAACAGTCATCTGGAAAAAAGGTCAGATCCTTTCATCTGGTTATCAGTACATTTCATTGACAGCCAAAGTCCTACATTTCTGTGACTGTGGGTCAGGAGTTCTTCCAGCCTTAACACCTGAATAGTTTTATGTGCTTTAGGTATAAAACCTCAGATTCCTATTAAAACAGGACAAAGATTTTCTTTAATAAATCACATTCAGTATTTTATTATGCCTCTTTCCTCACTAAAGCACTCACAGAACATTGTAATCATACTTCACTGTTCAGGGTAATGTGAAAAAATAATAATCCACATACCCTGCATTGCGAGGGCCTGATCCAAAAGCCATTGAAATCAATGGAAGGGTGTCATTAAATTGAGGATGGTTGCCAATTTTGTAACAAGCAGAAAAAGGTGTCTTTGAATTTAGTGGATAAGATTGCAAACGAATTACTGTACTTCAACTGAAAATCTGAGAATATCTACCTTTTGGACTATAGTTTTAGCCACAAGGGCAGGAGATAATGGAGCCTAAACACATGCCTATGTCAGGATAAAATATATCCCCACCCAGCTGTAGAAAGGAATAAATATTATTTGGCAGTATCTTCTTATAGATAGTGATTGTTCAGATGACTACTACTAAAAGCCTTGGAAAGAACAAACCTGCAAACAAAATTATTTATACAATGTGATTCTTAAAATTCAAAATTAAAAGTCCCGGTCTGGAGACTTTAACCCAGCTAGAAACTCTTTGAGGCCATTGGGTATATGCCTTATCCCAGATCCAAGATAGAAAATTTCTGCACAGGTTCTATGAAGGGTTAAACTTCTCAGGCTCCTTTTTAAATCAAAGGGTTCAGGGATACTCAGATTTCAAGAGGTCTCAGTACTTCTGCAGTAGCAAACCCTAGATTTTTTATATTACCTTGGTCTGCTGGCCCCCTAGCACAACAGTACTTTTAATAGATTGGGCTTTCGTTTAAAGGGCTTGTGATTTGTTACTGCTAGCTAAAGGCAACAGTTACCCTAGAACTGTGTCCTTTCATACCATGGACATATTGTATTGCTCTAGCACTGCACATTTTTTAAAAGGACTGTTATGTGAAAGGTTAAACTTTTCACTTTGCTCATGAAAACATATGGGAAAGGAGGAGGGCAGAGCTATGGATTTGGTAGTGACTTATTTCACCAGATTGTAATAAACTTAACACCATGTCAAAATTAAGGAGTTTCTGAACTTGCAAGGTCTATCAAGTGACACATTCCAGTGTTGAACTGAGCCCGAGGAGCAGTGAGCGTGCGCGGCAGGCGGGTGCTGCTCCCCAAGCCTCGAACGCCGTGCTGCCCCGGGTCCTGGGTGGGTGGGACGTGGCTGCGAGCAGGGATGAAGACCGTCCATTTTGCTTCAGCAGGATGAGTACAAGAGGAACAGAGCCTGCTAACACGTTTGGAGGCAGGGTGCCTGCTGCCTGCTGCCACACAGACGAGCGCTGGCTGCTGAGGACGTTACCACTTCTGGTGTCTTGTTCTCTGCTATGTGCCAGCTGTGCCACCAGCACTGCTACTTGCTTTGGCATCATGAATTCCTAAGTGGTTTTTGGCCTTTTCGTTTATTTGTCTTGTTTTCTGTTTTTCCCTTTTAAATTTCCTTGGCCCTTTTCCCAGTCTGTTGGACTACTGCAAGAGAAAATGATATGATCAGACTGGTGTCGTATGCGTATTGAATTCCTGGCATATGCATGGGGGAAAGAAACTGCCTCCTGGAGCCAGAAGATGAGGCAGATAAATGGCCAGTATGGGAGAGTAGTGAACACTCCACAAACTAAAGAAAACCTCAGCTCAGATACTGAACTGTGAATATCATGGGACAAGTGCTTAAAAACTGAATCATCTGGACTTTCATTCTGCACTTAAGCCAGGGTGAAAGAAACACAGAAGCACACAGGGCATCAGGCTTCCATTCCCTGCACATCTTTAGATGCTGCTATAGGCAGACCACCCAGCAGATGACAGGATAGACACTGTCTCATCCAGCCATACTCCACTCTCCTGGCCTATGACAGTATTATACAGACATAAATATTGCTTATGAGTAATGGGTGGGATAGTAGGCACATTATCACTAACTTGGGAAGCTTAAAATACATACATGTATTTCTGGATTCTTTATGTTTTAAATCCCCTTCTTAACCATCAGTACAACGAACACAGAGCTACCATCTTTCTTATATATAAAATGATGTGAATCTTACAAAAATGAAATCAGGCAGATGAATAGCAGAGTTCTCACCTTGTCTCTAAACTACAAATTTTATTTTTTCCTTTATTTCCTTGTCTGTCCTTCAGCTGTTCATGCCAAGGTAGTCAATCATTCCTCCATTGCACCAGGTTAATTCACTTTATTTCATGGCCCATCATCGCAATTTAAAAGGTTATTTTTTCTTGATTCTGAGACCTTAGAAGAAGATGAGACTGTTCAAGGAAAGAATGAGGATAAAAAAGGAGGAGATACATAAAAAAAAAGAGACAACTTTTAAATTAAGAAGGTTTCAATAGCACTGCTTATATTTTCAGTGCGACTCAGACTTCTCCCACAGGCAAGGCAGACGCTCAAGATCAAAATTAACTGGTCTGGAGGTACAGTTAGCTAATTGTTATTTCCGTAAAATCAAAGGTTCAAGAAGGAAAATGTTGATACTATCAGACACCCATTCAAGGTTAGCTGGTTTCAGGAGAAATTCAAAATACAAGTACTATAAATGTGAATCACTGAAAAACAGAACGAGGGCTTGATGTCTATATAGGCTTCTTACAACTCTGGAACTGCAGTGAGGCTGTAACGGGGATGCAAACACACATCTTTTCGGCCTAAATTTGATTCACAATCAGTTGTCATGGTTTGAGCATTTCAGTACAGGGTCCCTTTTATACTGTTAGACTGCTGTGAAAGGTTCCATTACAAAAACAACTTTGTGGAGCCAGGCACTTTTGCAGCAAAATATGAAAAAAATTTGCTATATTCTAAGCGTAGGAAAGAAGTTACTGCTTTCCTAGAGATATTTCCACAGTGCTGCCCTATCTCCATTCCAGACTCTGTGATCTCCACGTATTCCTGTGTTCAAAAGTACAGGGGCGAAGGAGGAGGAGGACCTTCTCTCTCTGCTCCCAGCCAGCCTCTAGCAGCTCCAGTATTACAAGACCAGTGTAGGCAAGGGCTGTACCAACACAGGATGCCCTCAGGGCCTGGCAGGAACTTACTGCCTGTAAAACCCTACACACAAAAAAAATTAGCACTGTAAAGTATTTTTCCATCTCTACTAAAGCCTCTGATCTTGAAAGAACATTTGGACATGCTTTTAATGATTCTAATTGCTGATACTATTTAATATTTCTTCAGTCAGTAGCATCCTGGTAAGGACATGTTCCAATTGTCATCAGAATTGGTTCCTTCTCAGTTTTCCCTTTCTCCTCTAATTTTGTCACACAGTTCTTCCTTCTCCTCTTTTTTTCTTAATTTTTGAAACTGGTCAGGATATTCTCTTTGCATGACAGAGTGTATCCTTTATCCCTGGCCTGTGGACTATGCCAAGTAAAGAAGCAGACAGCTCTGCAAATGGTTTCAGACTGAGAATGCAGCATGATCACTAGTTTCTTGCTTGTTTCTTTATTCACTATTATCAAACTGCTTTCTTTGCAATAAGCACTAACCATTTCTCACATGCTTAGCTCCCAGACCAAACTCATTGTTAGGTTAGTCTAATTGGTCTTTCTGTGGATAGTCCCCCAGAAGAAAAGCTGAGGTTGAACCCACAATTTGCACACTCTGTACTGTAATGGCCATAGGAAGGAAGCATATCTCAGAACATTGGTGGCAGCACTGAAGTTAGGCTATGTGGAGGCATTTATGAATTTGCCATTTCTTTATCAGTTTCCATTACAGAAATCATGGGACGTTTCTATTTCATTTCCACGGCAGGTAGTGCTTCTCTTCAACAACTGTAAGAGATAACAGTTAGTGTAAGAAAGTGTCATTTTTACATTCTTCAGCCATATAAATCACCACAACAGCTAAGACTGACTTGTGTTATTCATGACGGCTCTTTCCTTAACAGCCTTATGTCTTGAGATACTTTGTGAAAGCCTAATAGCATTTTTTACAAAAATTAATCTTGTGATTTAATTTGCCCCCTTGCATATCAGCAGACTGCGAGTGCGATTGTTTAAATGCACCGACTCTAGTTGTAATGGTTACCTTGTGTTTATCACTGCTTAGAGTTCCAATTTAGTGGGAGATGCTTCAGAAAACAGCAGCATGTATCTCTAAGTGATATTGACACCACATGATAATCTTTCTGTATTTACCACAGTACTCTGCAGCTTGGGTTTCACCTCACTAAAATCTGAACATTTCATGAATACAACCAAATTCAGTGATATATTATTACTGTGACATACATAAGTATTATTCCCACTTCAGAGAAACAGAAAAAAAACCTAAGGTCCAATATGATCATAAGATATGGCATTACCTTATGAACAGTGGAGTCTCACAGCAGCCCAGGAAGGATGTATTTGTACCAGTTACCATATTTAATGTGCTCCAAGTAGAGACTGAAATAGTTTCAGATCCAAGGTACAAAATACAAACCTAGCATGGGCACTAACTATGCAGACTCCTTTTAATGAAATAAAATTCAGCGTTATTGAAAACTTCAGCTTGTCCCTATTATTCCTATTGTACAAGGGAACCTTTTGACAGAAGAGTATTTTTGCTGGCAATGACACTCTATGTTAAAATTTTGTAAAAGCTGAACCATGATCATTAAGAAAAAAGCCCTTGAGCTTTTCGTGACAACGCTTTACAGAATTAGCCCCCAGACCTGACAATTTGTTTGCAACTCTGAGAATGATATTTAGGGCCCTAATATACCTATGTATAATTTTTCATGCAAAATATGTAATACATGAGGAATATAACTCCTCTTTTTGTTGCAAGTTACACTGGAAATGCAAAGAGATCACAACCATCACTTCTACATTATTCAGCACCAAAAGAATGCACAAATGTCAGGATGTTTGGGTTTTTGTTTGTTTTGTGTTTTGGTTTTTTTTTTGAGTTAAAAATATATGAAATATAAAACACTAGGAAGCATCTACCAATATTATTTTCAGAACACGTATAGAGTTTTGTGCTTTAAAATGCGACAGCTGACCCATCATTACTGTGATCTATTTTCTCTAGTTACACTGATATGTTAAGTTGTATAATGTAGTTCGACGTGATTGACAGAGCCTGCAAGCAGTGGATATTTTGAATCTGGCACATCTCTCTCTGTTAAAGAGTGTTGCACATAAACACTTTTTAACATTAAAAGCGTTTTTCCTTAAAGGGAAGGAGTAGGGGTTGAATGGCTTTTAATCCATAAGCGCCCAGATCTTGCAACACACAGACAAAGAATGTCCTTAGATTTAAGGAATCTATAGGTCAGGTACCTGGCAGAAAAAAAAAAAAAAAAAAAAAGACAAAAAAAGGAGAAAAAAAAAAAAAAGGCAGTTGTATATTATTTGGCAGCAGGAATAATGCTTTTCAAGCACCTATTATTTTTCTGCCACTCATTCCTGTAGGTCATTCCATCATATGATTGACTACTTGTTAAAACTAGACTAAATATCCAGTAAGAATTTTCCTTCTGGGGCCTTCTTCAGGCTCTGCCTACTTACCTTTTTGATTTCTTTCTTAATACTGTGAATAAACCTTTCCTAGCCTTTTTAATTGGCATATCTCAGATATTTATAGTCTCCTACAATCTAGTTCTGCCACCTCTTGGCTGAGTTTATGAACCCGCACAGTTTCATCTCTCCCTATTGAACAATCTCTCTGGAGTTTTCAGTTCTTGCTTGCTCTTTCCCCCCCCAAGCAACATGCAATGCAGCCTGGAACCAGACACAAGACTCATTTTGCCCTACTCTTCCTGTGGTTGAAAAACCAGTAGTCTTCAGTTCCCTAATATAAACAGAAACCGCTGTGTATCTCCTGATACACATCCTTATGCTAGTTCTGTGTGTCTAGAACACCCTGGCATTACAGATAATCCTATAAGTTTCCTAAAGAGAGGTGTTTCTTGCATATACATCCAATAGCAAAGTCAACCACTAACAAAAGTTTAAAGTTGGTCTAAGCGATAACCACGCACAAAGCCTGATGAAATCAAAGGTATGGCACATACTAAACTGACAGAAGAATTTTGCTTATCTTCTCATGAATTTCTCCATCTCAGGAGCTACTTTACAGCATATGCTTTTTAGCATTGCATTGTATCAGCCTACATTGTTCTGGTCAAATAACAATTGCAAAGTCAAGCGGATGCACAACTTTTTCCCAAACAGAAATGAACTTTCTTTAAATCTACACATCACACAGTTTTCACTAAGCTTGAGAAAGTGCTTAACAAGTAGACAGTAAAGAGAGGACCTATGCTATGGGACTAATGTATTTTACTTCCTCAATACATTCTAATTTATGGAATATTGGAGGTCAAATGTCAAGTGATAAACAAAATGACCCAATTTAATAGTTCAATGTTTTTCTCAATGGATGATTTTGAAAACGGCCTTAATAATCTCACCATTGTGAACCCCATTAAAATCCAGTTTATTGGAAATACAGTAAATTATACAACCAAACATTTAAGAGGCATTACTTTTCCCCCCATAATGGAGGAACTCAGGAGTGACACTGGAGAAGCTGAAGGAGTTCAGTCAGAAATAGCACATGGGCAAGAAGTTCTGAACCGTAAGAATGTATGTATAAATGCACTTACATACATGTGTGCGCTAACACACATATATACATATATATGTAAGCACATACATAATAGCTGCTTCAGAGTACTTTATTGCTCTGCTTATAGAAAGCCTTTCTTTGATCACTAATTAAAATGGTCCACAACTTTCATCTTTTCTGTTTTGAAGTGCACAGTGTTCTTGCTGGATTGTTTTGTGGTAAGAATGATAGATTCTTACCCTCCCATGGCAGGGGGGTTGGAACTAGGTGATCTTTAAGGTCCCTTCCAACCCAAACCATTCTGCAATTTGTCTTCATTCTTTCTGCAAGATTTGCAGCATGCCATGCATATGTTTGTTAATAAGCAGAGTTTATGTTGGTCTTCATTACTGTTAAATTATTTAAATTGCATGGCTTCTGAAAGTGGGAAGTGTGTGATGTTTGCATGCCAAACATATATATTTGTTATGAAAGCAACACTGGCCTGTATTCAGACAAAAAGTCAAGATGCATGAGTAAACTTATTTAAGATTACAGTATGCAGGCTGCTGTTATTTTGCTATGGCATCAAATATAAATGGTATAATGCCATTCATCACTTTGTTCTTGTAGAGGTTACAGTTTTTATGTATCTTAGCTACTCTGTTTACATGCTCACAGAACTTTACATGCCTTTGAAATACCATTTCTCACATATAAACATCCCCAAATAACCCACAGCAGTGGGATGGCATTCTCATTCAGTCTTGGTAAAGGGCTTTACTTGGTAAACTGCTATGTATATTCCTCCCCCAAATAAAGTATGCTCTGCCATAATATCTGAAAACATGCAATTTGTTTGAACTAGCATCAACATTTTGATATCAGCAGAACTCTGAGAGATCTAAGAACTCTTAAAGAACTGAATTCTCTGTATTCTGTCTGTGCCTATCAGCCGGTAGAGGGAGCATGAAATACTGGCTATGTGTAGCATGTGCTACACATTAGCAAAATCTAGTTTTAGCTGATATTTCAACACAGTCATTAGAGCCTGATCTGAAAGATGCTATTTCTCGAAGGCTTTGTGATGAACACCGTTTGCTATTCCAAATTCTTAACATCAGTTTTTAGCTTTTGCACTACACATTTTGATTAGCAGAATCTTCCACATGAAGTTCAGGGATATTGGTTTTCAGCCAGTCATGCAAAGCCCACTCAGGGCTGTAAGAGCTGTGGAAAAAAACAAGCACTAGGGTTTTAAGTACAGAAAAGTAATTTGATGACCCAGATCAGGGCTATTCCTAGTTAAAATCTGTTAGCACCTTGGAGGCTTGGCTTTCACACAAGAATAATAATATAATTTTCCATCCCAAAGTACTGGGTTTTACAAATTGTGACAGTGGTCCTGCTGATGGAGCTATTGGGGTGAAAGGAGGCAGAGTCCTGCTAAAGGTTAAGCACCCACAATGAATTTTGCACCCTTGCTTGGCAAAAAATCTGTTTGACCCAAGCATTGTGCAAAATATTCATCTTTTCCTCTTGATCCTTAAAATACCAGCAAAGGACTATTTCAGACCCTTACATAAGGTTCCCATAATGCCAGTGGCATAAATGACATCAGTTTTTAAAGCATAAAAGGCACCTCATCTAGGCTCAGAAATGTCAGTAGTAATTACAAACTTTGTTTTCAAGTATAATCAATTCTTTATTTATGGTGTGAAACGTTTTTTACCCTTTTGAACTTTCCCTATTCTAAGCCAAGCAATATTGTTGGCATGTTCCTTTAAAAATAATTGTTTCTGGACTGAGAAATTGAATGTCAAGTTCTAACTCGATGTAAATTAAATGGGTTACATTAATAGTCTGGCCCATGGAAGAAGTGAGTGTTTCGATTCTGGGTTTGACTTCAGGACACGACCTCTTGATCACGCAGGTCAGCACAGATGGGAAATATTGAAGAGGTACCCTAGGTTGACGTGGGGAAGAAAGTGTCTTGTACCGATGTATCACAAACTGTCTGATCCATTAAACAGAAGCAATGTCAGACTCCACAGAGAATAAAGCTTAGTTGTCATAGGTCATTATGCTCTTCAAAAAAAAAGAAGAGTTGGAAGGAAAATCACAATGATGGAAATCCTCAGGGCTGTCATGTCCACATAATCTTCTAAACCTTCCCGAGTTAATGGTGCCAAGGCTATATACAGGGGGAACAGAGTAAAGAATCCAAATATTC